TTCTGGCTGTCTGTTTCCCTGAAGGTTGATCCTTGCCACCTGAAGCCTGTCAAAGCAGCGCGCAAGCTCAACTTGAGCCAGCGTGCCCAGCGCGCCCTAGATATTTTCTACACAAGTGGGCAGTTCACAAACCATTGCGTTGACACGTCTCAACATATTGACCGCATGACATCTGGTGATGGAGGGAAGATCCCATGTGTCACACCAAAGGGCTCTTGTTGGTACATGCCTTTGATGCGGTATATTACAGGCGAGGCCACACACAGCAGTTTGAACAGATTTGAAAAGTCTACACCCCAGGTCTTTTTCTTCCTTGATGCTTCAAATGCGTGCAGGCATGGAGAAACTTATTCTCCAATCTGTGCCGGTGCACAAGCTGGACCTTCGCCACTTGAGCACCACTGCCACTTGGATAGCAACCCAAAGTCAGAGTCAACTTAGTTGAGCAACCTTTTCAACACCAGCATGAACACTAGCTATCCCTGAGGAGCTCCATGATCTGGCTGGGAATGCATATAATTGCAAAGCGATTGGAGCTGCTTATGTGTGTGCTATCGCTTGCTGCGATCTTGCCAAATTCAATGCCGCGGTCCGGAAGCGCGGATGAGCGACTGAATCACCTTGGAACAGCTAAAGGGTAAAAATTGTTTACTGTAATTGCATCAGCCAGATCTGAGCAGTGTGAACCAGTGAAACGTGGAACGTTCTGCACTCATGTTCTGGTACTTGCATACCTTGGAAGGCAGTCAACAAGTGTTCAATGTTTTGAATGTATTGTGAGAAAAAACAATCATGCACATGCAACATGCACCTATTGAATCCAATCATCAAACAAAGCAAAGCAGGATGTTAACATTGACTTTCATCTTTCAATCCCTCGAGAGAACAAAACACATAGCATGTAAATCAAGTCCACAGCGAACATTCAAAAGCTCCGTTCAGTTTGTAAACTGCCATGTTGATGCCCTACAACGCTTCATCATCATCCTCAGATTGTGATTGTGCATCCTCAGATTCTGATACACCTTCAGACTCTGAATCTGAGCAAAGCAGCAGATCAAGCTCATCAAGACCTGTCCCAAAGCTTGAAGCCGTTCGAAACCTGAGTTTGAATCTTCTGTGCGCTCTGGAAACAGAAGATCACCAAGCCAGTGACAATCTCGCTAGCAAAAACGGAAAGGACAAAGAAAGAATCTTAGCCCAGCATTGCTTTTGCCAAACTCTTAGAGCATAAACTCATAATATAACACACACACCTTGACCACAAAACCAAGGAATTCGGGAAGCCCTCAAAAGACCATGCTGCGCCCAGCGCTGCAAAAGAAGACTTAGCCTAGGAATGGTTCTTTCTTGCTGTGTTGCCTTTTGGTCATTGACCAAAAGCGGTCAAGATTGTTTGCTACTTGGATCAAACCACTTGAAACCATTCGTGACTTTGGACACCGAACCCCTTTCTTGGACCTTCGTTTGTCACTCTCAGGCTGTGGAGCTTGCAGTCTTCTGGCCACGAGACTTGGAAAGAAGAACAGGGGGATGATGATGATGGAAGTCCATCTTCATCCAACGGTGGTAGCGATTCCTCAGACGATGCTTCACGCGGGAAGTGGTTCATGGAAGGCCCAATCAAACCCTGTTGTTGTTAGCTTCATTCTGGGCACTGTCCTCAAAAAGCCCTGCAAGGTTACCAAATCTGCCGCACTGCTTTCCTGCAGCTTATGGGTCTGGGGCGGCAACGGCTAGCCCGGTGCAGGAAAGTATTTAGGGGACAGGACTTTAGATCTTTTGGTGCCTTGGCATTCAACTACAGTAGCTGGCATGTAATGAAACCTGCTTGAACCAACTGAAACAATTGACCCTTACTCTAGGTGCAGGAGCTCCACCTGGAAAAGCGGCAGCAGGCATTGAAGCCTTCTTAGAGAAAACATATTGGAGCCTAGCAGAAACATTGCCCCATGAGCACCTCGCCTATTTATGTAAGTCTGAAGGGAATCAATTTTGGGATGGCCCCAAGTTTGCCATGTCACAAACAAGGTTGGACATTGGAAAGGCTGACTTTGACACCAAGACTGGTAGAGAAGAGCTTGTTGCTGCGCTGCTTGAATCCGCTCTATGTTCTTCTCCTGGCTTTCACCAACAAGGGCCAAACAAGTTGGTGAGGCGTTACTTGCCGCCAGGCAAATATGCTGACCTCTATAGGTTATACACTGCATATGCCATGGCATCGGACATGGGGGTTGCCAGTTCAGCTACATTCTACCGTGTGTTGAAAAACAGTGGGTGGAAAAAGAAATTGCGACATCGGGGAACTAGTACCCATACCAAGTGCTCAGTCTGCCATAGGCTCAAAGATGCAATCAGGAAATCTACAAGTCTGCAGTACCATGCTGAAAACGCAGACCGTCTCATGAGACACATTGGCGGTCAGTTTGCTGACCGCCGATGCTACTGGCAGCTACGAGAAAGGGCGACGCATGATCGTGATATCCTGGTCTTGATCCAGGATTCTATGGATAGAACTAAGTTCCGACTGCCAAGATTTACAGAAGGTGCTGTGCCCAAGGCTCTCGACCAAAAGCCAAGACCGGAATGCGAATTGACTGCCAGCATTGCACATGGGCGAGGAATTTTTGTCTACATCACAGATCCAGAACAATCATTTGGGACAAACTGGAACATTGAAGTGTTGTCCAGGACCTTGCAGACATGCTGGAACATGTCTCAAACGTCCAGTGAACCCTGGCCCAGAATATGCAAACTGTTCTCTGACAATACACCCAAGGCCTTCTGGCTGCAAGTTGATTCGTTTGCAATGTGAACATGACACGCTACCGGTTTGACTCTGCTAGCACTGCAACACAGACTCAGGAAATAAAGAACTCTCTATTTGACCAATTCTGCTGCCATTTGGTTGCTTCCGGCCAATGGGACTCCTTTGGACATGAACACCTATGCGTTGGACACACCCATGAGGATGTTGGCCTATCCCTCAGTGAGCTGGAATCTAACCCCTCAGTCAGCTAGAATCGGCCGACACATATTCTTGCCCCCTGAGATTCCTTCTTTGGGCTGCTGACGAGAATCATAAAGGAAGGTGATGAAGATTTGCCAAGTCCTTACATGGAGCTTTCAAAGTAACAAAAAGGTTGCACTATTACATAACATTTGGTGATTGAGGCAATGCCCGCAAGACTTAGTGAGGCTGCTTGACTATCCCAAGAATTCAACTTGTTCTATTGGTCACCGCTGCTGGTTCCTCTTTCCTCAGGTTCTTGAACGACAAGTTAAAGGAGACCTTCAAAAAAAAAAGGGGTTGTTCTTCCAAGCTTACTACGTGACATCAGTGCGAGACTGGTGTGGGAACTTTGCTACATATGGCCCAACATATGGTGCATACAGAAAAAGGAAGGCCAATGATGACAAGGTTATCCCCCATTCCTTCACCTTCATTAGAAGGGATTGCGCCTAGACTGCGTTAGATCCTTAATAAGCAGTTTAGATCCTAAGCAGTTTGCAGAAAGCAAACATAATATCTAGCTGCAGGTTTGCCAGAACATCTTGCTCTCCAAGTGCCTTGCCAATGAACCAATGGCTGAACACATTTAATTTGTTTGCCAAGTTTGTATAAACTGATTGCCAGTGGAAATAAGGCAAGCAACCGCATGCCACGGCGGTTTCAAGAATGTGGATCTGATGTATTCCTGCTTCTGAAAAGCTTCGTGGCAAGCCGAGACCTGTCTCAGCCCCCTCTCATTGTATGGCCAGGCTGCAAGTCCGATGAAGCTTATGAAGTTCTTTGCAAGCTCTCCAGAAACGAAGTTCCATGTACCTTGTTGGCAGGGCTGGTGAAAACACACAACATACTACCCACACACACATACTCCCAGTCACTTGCTGCTGTAGGTGTTTCTGTCCATTTGGATGACCTGGTGAAGCAAACATTCCTGGAAATTGCAGACTACCTCAACCAGAACTACAAACAGTACCTGGCCCAAACTATTCTTATCTTTCTTTTCAGTGCTGCCTTGAGCTAAGCATTTGGCGTTCTTAGGTACAACCGTGGAGTTATGTATTTGCAGCAGCTTGCGGGCGTAAGGGCAATGCCAAGGACAACCCCGCCCCAACTGCCCTGTTTGGAGATGACTCACGCTGGCGTGCAGCGTGGGGCACTCCGTTTGCGGGATCCTGAACCTCACGTCATGCATACTATGCATGTCAGGTTTCACAGGTACAAATAGACACTCTTGTGTGGGGTGATTGTTCAACTGAAAGTTGAATGTTTCCCAAGCTAGTCTTGGGAAGGGGATGGGGCCAGTTCTCAACTGGACATGACTGAGCTTTTCAGCCTGTGGAAAGTGCATGCGACGCGCTTCAAGAGATTCTGCTTGTGGACCATTTTGGAACAGTAACCCTGCCTTGCAATGGCTTTGTGTTTGCTTTGGATCAAAACATCGGGTAGTCCTGTCTTTGTTTCATGCACTTTACGCAAAAAGGAACGACAAGTATATGGATCATGTCTATTGAGTAGGGTTTCTGGTTCCCTGGTGCAATAGTGACCTGATGGCGGAGCAAGTCAAAAATGAAACCGAACCTCCACTTGCTGATCATGTGAAGGACACTTGTATGCAAGCTGTTGTCCTTGAGTCCAAACCACCACTCCTTGTCCAGCGCGACTTCATTCATCCCAAGCAGCTGAGGAGGAAGGGCATGAAGACCAACCCATGTCCATATCGGAACGCCTGACTGCTCAGATGGAAGAGGCTGGTTCTTCATCTCACTGACTGGGCTAAACATGTCATGTTGTAACTAAACTCTTGCATCCTCCTACTGCTTCTTTGCCAGATTACAGCGAAGCACAACATGGGTCGATGGCTGTGGGATCAGCTAGGATCGGAAGAAGGCCAAAAACGTTTCATGCTGGTCCCTTTGTGAAATACCTGTCAGTGTCTTGTTTTCATGTTGGGACTTAAAGGATTGCAAGAACATGATCATGATCTAAGGCTATGCACAAGATCTTCGACCTGCCCTGTGTAGAGAAGCATGTTGATCACCAAAGCCTTTTAAGGTCTATCCCTGCTACAAACAAGCAATTCAACTTAGCACTGTGGCATTTCAACTACTCAGAGCAGTCCAAGTTTGGTGAACGGGGGAGGTTCCCTACAAATTTGCAATACAAAGCTCACTTTGGCTCATTCTTGCAAAATGGATATGAGCCGACCCGTGAAGCAGTCGACGTCCGGTTCAAAGAGAACCCCCTACGTGGTGTGGGTGATGATGACTCCATTCACCCCTTTTCAGTGCTGTTCATCGATGGCCAAAACAAACTGCTCATTATGCAAAGCACTCTGGCCCTGCTTGAATGCATTGAGCCTTGCATTGAACCTTCAGGTTGAGATTGCTTAAACCTGTCTCAGCCCAGCCTTGTCGACCTTTGATCTGCATAGCATTAAGGATATCACTCCAGAAGAGCTGGAAGAGGACGAGCACATTTGCAGGGTCATTGCGTCATTCAAATACATCCGATGCAACTTCAAGAAGCTAGCAAGGCCTGAGGACTATGTTTATGAGTCCTTGGGTGCCTTGAAGCAAAAAGTGAAAGTTCTGTTTGAACAAACCTTTTGAAACATGTTCAATTCTTTCCCTGGCCCAGGATTGGCAAACCGGACTGCAGAGAAAACGAAGCCTTCTTGTCTGGACTATGTGCTCTTTTTTTCAGAAGCTGTGCGGCTGAAGAAAGAATCGGAACCTCACAAGTCCTTGAGGGATTGCTTGTGGGCTGCAATTCAGGAATACAACAAGAAAAATCCCAAGGCTTGGCATTCATTGATTATGCAAACATGATTAACTAGGGGCATTTTAGGGGCCTGCCCTCACAGACAACCAGTTGCATGCACCCTGAGAACTTCAGAGTCAGCGACACCATGCGGAAACTGACCTACAACTTGATGCGCTGCCCAGCTGAATTGCTGGACATGCTCGGTGAGATGTACGAAAACGCAAAGCCAGAGATTGCAGGCCAGGTTTAACTCCACAACCAAAGAACCAGAGTACCAACTAACTACTAGATGTACCTGCTTCCTGCTTTGACACCTTTGCGCGACCCTGCCAGCTTTATCGATTGAGAATCTTGATGGCGACTATTTTGTCCCTGGCTCATGCCCAGACCACTGCGAAGGAGTCTGGAAGGAAGCCCAGGCTGGTTCAAACCAGTTGAAAACCACCCATCTCCAATCTCCCATCCCATATGATGTATTTTAATATTTATAATGATACCATATAATACTGTCCTCAAAATCTCTTGACCAGGTTGTCACAGAGCAATCTGTCATGGTTTGGGCACGGCGGGCCAAGCTGGATTATGATCGGAGAGCACCAAAAGCTGCAACCAACAAACTGAAGGAACCTTGGAGTACTATATTTTGCATGATTGCTCTATTTAGCTAATACCATTTGGAATTCCATCATCATTAAAGTCCCCTCTTTGGAAAACCCTGCCCAGAAGCTGGCACAACGGGACACTGCATCTTTGGCTGAGCTGCTGAACATTGCCACATTGTTCACATGGCTGAAGCCGAAGATGGACCTCCAGCTGGGAGCTGACTCCACAGTGCTCAAATCCATCATGGAGATGTGGGACTTGGGGATGCCAAGCTGCAGGTATATAAATTGAAACTAAAGCTAATGCCCAGTACCAAAAAACAACAAGGGGTATATGTCCAACGAGTTACAAAGTGAAAACCGCAAGAAACATACAAGGCAACCTTTGAAAACCACAAGAAACAAGCTGACACCAAGAAAACCGCAAGAAACCTACAGAATCAAGGAAAACCGCTCGATAATTGGAAGTTAAAATACAAGGCTCCAAAATCCAGTGGTTTTCAGATTCCGCACGATAGTCTTGAGGAGTTTAGATAGGGAGGTTAATTTTTCTAACTTAAATTTCAAGGTCTGAAAATCTAGTGGTTTGTTTTTACCATCAACATTATCCTGTGGTTTCTGGAAACCACACGATTGTGTGAGGATTTTTCAGCACCTCTCAAAATCCAGTGCTTTATCACTTGGCCACAAGAAAAATTGAAAGTGAAAAACAACAACCGCAAGAAACTCTGACAGTGGAAAAAAAAAAAACAAGAAACTTTGACAGTGGTAAAAAAAACCGCAAGAAACTTTGAGACTGGGGAAAAAAAACGCAAGAAACCTTGACAGTGGGAAAAAAAAACCGCAAGAAACTTTGACAGTGGGAAAACCACAAGAAACTTTGACCATAGCCAAAAAAAAACGCAAGAAAGTTTTAAAGGTATAGAAAGCCGCAAGATTATACAATGATAAAAACCGGATGAAACAACAGATTGATTCCCTGCGAGTGGTGGAAACCTTGAGATGTCGATCCATCCAAACTAGCCACCAAAAGCTGTGGGACTCATAGGTCTGGGTTGGATGGGGCATCTTGACAAACTGCCTGACTGCTCTGACCCTGGGAACATAAAGTTACAACATGTTACAACAATTCCCTTTGCCCATTCTGTTAAAAAATTTTTGAAGCCAACCAAAAAACAGCTCCATCCTCTCCTCCGAGAGGCTGGATTTCTTCTGCCTTCCCTGCATGGATTTTCCTTAGCTGTGCAAAACACATTTGAGGAGAAAACCTAAAACAACCAAACCGGATCCAAACACATCCTTAAGGTTCTTGTCACATTCACCAAGCTAGGGCAAGGGGACTAGGAATGAGAGTGTCTTTGCTTGCTGCCCTTTGTTATATAAGAACTAAATAGCTTGCTCACAACTCATATATATATATATATAACTTCGTAATGTAACCGATATGTCTGCCATCAATCAAAGACTGGCCCTACAAACATGGCGAAAGGAGTTTCCTGAGGGGAAACATTCAAATACTAATCGCTAAATATACTCAAACATCAAGGTGAATGTTCAGGGTATTAGTCACTTGTTGGAAAATGTTGTGTTCTGTGTAGTGTAGGTGTTGTGCTTTCTGGTTCAGCAGGATTCCCAAAGTTATTGCAAAATTAAAGACTTAAAACTGTTCTCAAAGTTTTGATATGCGTGGTGACCAGTTTTTTGTAGATGTTGGTTTTGGCACTCTGGCTGAGGGTTTTGGATCCTGAGCTCAAAGCGCACATCAAGGGTGCTGATGCCAACTTTGACCTGTCAAAGCTGGCATTCTTCCAGGAGGCCAAGGGTGTCGCTCAGGATGAGCATATAGCGACTGCCCAGAGTGCAGTCGCTAATGCTCAGAAGACCTCGCTTCAAGCAGCATTCCAAGTCTTCAAGACGAGCCTTGACAACGATCATGTTGTTCATGATCGGTTCATGTCCCAAGCCCGGACAGATGAAACACGAGCACGGAATGCTGCCTTGCAGAGTTTAGAGGCCTGGTGTGTAGGCAAATGAAATACTTGCTTCTAGTTTCAGGCTACTTTCCAAGAAACTCCTTGGGTTTTGGTTTGCTCCACTCACTTTTTTTGTGTTGCATCCCCCCTGGCAGAAAATGCACCAAACAGCTTGGAATTTGGTGTCGAGCTTTGCAGCAGAGACTTTGCCAACGTGGAATGCAACGCCCAAGAAGGTCCAAGGCAAGGTGGGTTTGATTGTTGGTAATCAGTTCTGACAATACAATAGTTTGTAATCTATATATGACTGATTAAACACATAATATTATCTAAACATGACATTATGTTATGTTATATTGGCAAAAAGGGGAAAACACCAGACCAGTGTTCTTTCACAGGTGTGGAGCAGTATGACAGCCTTGGAGCCTCCACAATCAGTGGAAAAGTGCTACCTTGGATGCAGAAAACATTTCAGGGAATGGGATGTGGGTTGCGGCGATTTGACAAAGAGCGACTCTTTGCCTTCATTAACTGCGTGGCAGCTGGAATCCTGACGGCACCGAAGATTTTGTATACAGTGGAAACTGTGACCCAACTTGCACACAACTGCCCTCGCACATTTGTGGCCGTGGTGCTGTTGCCCAATCGGGCCGGTGACCTTCGCACAGCTTTGAAGAAACTCAGACTCATGGAGCAATTTTTTGTTTAACTCAGACTCATAGAGTTTAACTGAGCTTAAATTTGTTTTGAAGAGTTGAAGAATGTTGAAGAGATAATTAAGAGTTGTCACAGCCTGGTGTGTTGAACCAACCTTGCATAAAGACCACCTGTTCTCTAAACACTTCTGAATCTGGAAACTATCTAGATTCAACAAAAGCACAATGGTGTGCTGCTACTTAGGACTGAAAAGAAGGAAGAGGATGAAGATGAGAACAAACTTACAAAAGATGAGACAGGACAGGTTTGGTCAAAACAAAAAGTGGAGCAAGTTTGTTCCCAGTCCCAATTAAGTTCTGTGATTAGCAATGGGAACCCTTGGAGGAGAAGACAATGGGGCTATTGCAGATGAAGATGAGGAGAAAGCTTCTTCTGCTGATGTCATCTTGCATGAGTTTGTGTACAAATTGAAGGCGCGCTTCATGGATCCTGAGCGAGCACTACGAGCATCTTTGATTACATTTAGTCCTTTTGAAGTGTCCTGGCCCTTGTTTTCTTTGACTGGAGTTACAGTTGTTCTTACTATTTGCTGGGAAGTCAAAGGTGAGAGAAGCAACGCTGGTGTTTGACCCTGACACGGTCTATGGTGGAAGAGCTGGGAGTCACCAATGCCTGTTGATCACAGCCATGGACAAGACCAACTTCATTTGGAAGTCCAAGGGATGGCGGAACTCCATCATCACTGGCGCGTCAATGCTGCCCCGTTCAGAGATGGTCAAAGTAGAGAAGCCATTGAAAGGGTTTGTGGCAGATGCAAAGTTGACACCAGTTCAAGAATTGAAACAGGCCATTGTTTGATGAACCAGTTCCTCAACCATAAATCACATGGCTGGTATTAGAGTGTTTAAATTTGGTGATAATTGATAGTCATGCCTGATTTGATCAAATAACAATCAGTGTCTCCATGAACTGTTTCTGCTCACCCTGTTTCCACTACTTTGTACTTACTTGCTCATTTTGATCCCTGCAGCACTTGGCTGGCATCTCCGTGGTGGACAAGATTGTTGGGGCATTGTCAGATCCCGCTGACAACCACAATGTGATGTTGGACGTGCTTGGGTATGATGGGCAAGTGAGTGCGTTCGTGTTGAAGCAAGTTGCTGCTGGACACAAATGGGCAGCTGGAACCATTTGCCATTCTGAGGCAGAGTCAAGCTTTGTCACTGAGTTCACAGCCAGGTCAAGATTGCAGGTTTTCCGAACTTTATGTCAGTAGTTGGTGAGCTGCAGAAGAGCACCAAAACCGTCAATCCACCTGAATACTCTGTGTGCCAAGCTTTGGCCGATGGGACTTTGGTCATCAAACAGGCTCTTTTGGACCTCTGGATCACAAAGCATGAGATGTTTGCTGCAGAAACTGTGCCTCGCTGTTTGTTGGTACCAGTTTCAGTTTTGTTGTGTGTTAGATTTGTTAGTGATACACTCACTTCAGTTTGATGTTGCAGTTTATATGCAACACAATCAGGAGCAGCTCGTGAAGGAGCACAATGACAAATACAACCCGCGAGGGATCAAGCGTGGAAGTTCAACGGACGACAACACTGATGAGGGCCAACCTCTTCAGAAGAAAATTCGCTTGGACAAAACCATGCCTTTGAGTGATGAGAGCTCTTTGGAGGACAAGTTTCTTGGCAGAAACATTTTTGTGAAGTTTTCTATTCCCACCCATTGGATAATACCCAATATCTACCAGGTTGAATCTGTGATTTCTTGATTCAGTGAGTGAGGATCACTCTGGCTTGTGGAACCTTCAAGCTGCTTTACAACAAGTCTGAGGAGTCCCTTTGGGTTGGACCAGACCAAAAGTCTACTGATGATGTTGAGATTGCTGGCCCCATTGAGCTCTTTGGGTTTGGGTCTGGAGACTTTTGCTCTGGCAGTGTGCCTGAATTGCAATTCAGGGGGAGGGTTGGGGGGTGGTTCTTCTTCTGGGGGGAGGTAACTTTTTGGATTCTAGCCCCAAGCCTGTCAGCTTTGAGGAGTGTTCGGATGTCATGAGTGATACCGGCAAGTCTGGTCGCTGGCTGTCCTTCAACCTCACATCAACATCCGACCTGATCATTTGTGAGCCCGACAAGAAGCTTCCAGAGCATGTGAAGAAGTTGGGTGCTTGGAACAAAGCTCCTTGACTTGAGTGTTTCCTCTTTGTGTTTTCTGGGGGTTAGTCACACCAAACAATTTTCTATATGCCCTGCCCTCACTCTATCACTATTTTTTCTATCTCTCTCTATCAATTGGTTTATGATTATTTATGTACTTGTCCTTTGATTTATTGTTTGTTTTTTACTATTTGACTAATATTTAATATTGTTTATTATGTCTGATTTGTTTATTAATTCTTTATTATGTAGTATTTGTGTGTTCTTTATGTCTTTCATGGTTTATTTTTGTTATGTATGTTTGTCTTGTTCTTGTTATTGTCCCATGGCTTTTCTTCTTGTACTGCTTTATTTATTGTGTATTTGTGTTTGTTTCAGATTTGCTTTGCTATTGTTTCATGTTTTCTTCATGCATTATTTTGTTTTCCTTCATTTTTCATTCAATCATTGTTTATGCTTTTCTGTATTTATTTATTGATTTTCTTCTTTATTGTCTTTAGTATGTTTGGCAAGACAAGTTAAAGGGAAAGAACCACACAGAGAGAGGATGTGAGAGTGAACAAGAGAGAGACACATAGAGACACAAAGGAAAGAGAGAAACAGAGTTGACTAAAAACAACAAAACCTACAAGGGGCAAAAGCACAAAGATCTCATCAAAACCGTGTCAAGGTTGGGTGGTAGATGAGTGGCAGGTTGGGTGATCAATAGCCAAGCTTGTTCTTACTATTCGCTTGCTGAAACAAGTTTCCATATTTATTCCACATCAACCTTGCAAGCATTAAGTTGGAGTGTTGGTGATCAGTTATCATACTTTACTGGTATCACCAAATAGGAAAAACAATAACATCTCCTGGATGGGAATCTGTGGATGGGAATTACACAAAGACTTGGAACAGTCACCAGTTCTATGACTCGGTATGCAGTGACAGGTAATGGAACTACACGAGGTCATTCGCATCTTGGAGAACGCTGGTGAAGTTGGGCTGAGCGTCACTATGCATCACGTCGATGGTGCCACAGTAAAGCAGAGCAAGGCGTGCTGCTTTGTCCTTGAGTCGCCCAGAGAGAAGTCTTTGCAGAAGAAGGTGGGCGCACACAAACAACAAGTCTTGGCAATCTCTGTTAGCCATTCTTCAAAGTAATCCCTTTCTTCAATGTGGAAGGTTGGCCATACAACTACTTTCGGGGCTCGATTGAACATGGCAAAGCTTCGTTTGAATGCGAACATCAAGATATGCTGGAGGATGAGGTGCCTTCGCCATAGTTAGCTTTTGGGGACACAGTTAACATCCATTGCCAACCCTGTCCTAACCATCATTCTTCTACTGATACCAGAAAACAAAGCTCAATTGAGAATACAGGGTTGTGGTCTTCAATGCGTTTGGTCGTAACAAGGCCCTCTTGGCAGAAGGTGTTACCCTGAAGGAATGCAGGGCCCCGTCAACACCAACCTAAGGCAATAGGTGATCTCCATAAACACTGCCCTACAAACCACACTAGGCTTTCTCAAGTAAAGCATGTTCATTGAGATTCCTTCAAAACACAAAAGCACCGAGGCTGACTTCATCTGGAGATGGTGCCAAGCAGCTTGCCCCAATCCGTCCAGTCGCAGTGCTTCCTGGGAGCATGACACTCAAGGCTGACCAGTTCTACCTTTTGGTGTGAGTTCATTTGGGGACATCATTTGTAAATTTTGCTTTGCCTGTAAGCACGTCGCTGAAGGCTGATGCTAGTGCTTGTTGGCCACCGCATACTGTATCATCAACCGCCACTATGTAGCTCAAACATGATAAGGTTTTATGCTTGGTCCACCAAGAGCCAATTGTTTCCTATGTTTGGGGGTGTGGCCTGTCAGCATTGAAAGATTTCTTTGGGGTTCACTGCCTTATCACTGACAAGTCAGTGCGAAAAGGTCATTTGCCATCTGCTGAACGCAGAGACAAGTTGCGACAAGTTTGCAAAATGGAGTATATAATATGACTGGAGCCCCAAGGTTTGAGAATGCATTCTGTTCAACTGCAGGAACCACCTACTTCCCACTTAAAGTGTCTTGGCTCTCAAGGGTCTCTTTTGAAGCGAGCCAGTCCGTTTCCAGCATGGCAGAGAACTTCACCAGGAAGTTTAGCGTGGCTGACTACACCGAGTTGTTGAACCAAGCTTCAACCACAAGGTCGCCACAAGCAGCTCCATCGCGACCTTCTCCACCTGCAGCGCCATCATCTCGAGGCGACTTGGTCCTGCCAATTTCTTACACTTGCAGCCCTAGCTGTTTCACACAACAACTCTTGGCAATGCTGTTCCATGTTCAGTCTTCAGCTCCTAAAGCCACATACCAAGACCACATTCCATCCAGTGCCTTGACAACTTTCATGCTGGCTTAACAACATTCATGCCGTCAGGTGATCCAGTCTTGAACCGCGTGAACCTCAATAGCTCCTCTGAATCACCTGAAAAGGCTCAAGAGAACGCAGAGAAGAAGACTGAGAGTGGAAAGAAGGAGAAGAAAACTCAGCCAGAAAAGAAAGCCAGACCAGACAAGACCAAGAAGGATGATGACAAAAAGAAGAAGAAACAAAAGGAAGATGATTCTGCTGATGAGATGTTTGGCTTTGACCCTTTTCGTAAAGATGAGGATGAGGATGATGATGAACCTGATGGGGAGTGCGAAGACGAGGGGGACCAACCGAAAAAGACCAGAGGCCGAGGCAATGCTGGAGCATCCAAACGGCCAGCTGCCAAGGAGTCCAAGGAGAAAACCAAGAAGAAAAAGACAGACAAGACTGACAAGAAAAAGGGTAAGCAGGCAGACAACATTGAAGCTTGGATGCTTCAACATATGCCAAGCAATCACATTGACCCCTGCGCAACAATTTTTGACAACGTTGCAACTAA